TCAGGCTTCAACTGTTCTTTTTACTAGCCGACCTTAAAGCTGTAATCTCAGTACTTAGTTTAATAGTGCCACAAAGTATCAAATAAGATGTAAGAGAGCCAAAAATTACAGTATTTCAATGTAATTTAAACGCTTCAGACCCACAATCGGGGATTGGTTTTGGGAACGTAGCCTGAGACGGAGACGAAGTTACATTTGAAGCGAGACATGGGACGGAGAGAACCCCCCCCCGCCTTTGTGTTGGTCATTGTTTGATCGGAATCTCAGTAATTCTTTCCAGACTTCTAGGGTGGATGTGTTAGGTAACAATAGTCTAGAGTGTGTATAGGGATTGGACAGGTAAGGGGGGTACCCTTCCGTCCCATATCTTGCCTGTTATACGAAGTTGAGTATTGGAAAACGGCCCAAGCTACGCATTACCGTCGCGTGTAGTTCATCCAATAATTGAAAACCAACTTCTCAAAATAACTGCCTTGGAAAGATACACCAACCTTTAATTACTATTGTCATTACATTGACATGCTTTCCTCCAGTCACGAATTCTAAATCACCAGATAACTTTTGAACACAAGCTTTTATCGATGAACGATAAGAAGTATTTTTTCTAGAGATGTGAAGTAAAGGTTGAACTTGGATAAAATTGCATGCCTTTACACGTATTATTATTAGCATCCACCTCTGTCTTTAGAACTCAGAAGTCGACATTGTATCATTGATGCATTCGTTGTAATATCTTAGGCGATCACCACGGCACATGTCCAAACAATTTTGAGAAATATCACTGGTATGACGACTTTGGCATCACTTGCGAGAACCACTGCAACTCGTCCGATGATTGCGCGGAAGGGGAGCTGTGCTGCGTTGAAGAAAGTGGAGGGATTATTTACGATGATCTCCCGGTCTCATATCGGAAACGGCGGCAGGTAGATGGTTCACGGTGCCCCGTTTGCAAGAAAGCTAATTACGGTGAGTCTCAGTGTATTCCTAAGTTTCCCAAAATACTTCAATTCAGTAAGTTCTTTGAAAGGTTCCAGAGACAGATAAATTTCACTGCTGCGATTACAAGACAGGAAGAGAGAGGGGAAGGTTGGGAGGGAGAGAAGGAAATGCTATGGCCATATTTGTCTTATGAATATTTATTTCTGAACTTACTACACTAAGTAGCCCTGCAACAGCGAAATGCACTTTGTGTTTGTTTTGGACAGTACGATTCCTTTTCCACATGCAGGAAATTTGTTGTAGATGTGTATTTGCCATAACGTTCTGTTCTTTTGGTCTACAAATTTTAAGTTCCATTCCACCTGAATATCTGATTCGTCAGTTATTCTTCATACCCACTGTAAACGTAATATACGTTTCCATCATTTTATCGGAGTGAATGATAGTCGTCAGAACAGACAGGCATTTTACATATGGAGCTGCAGGGTACGTAAACGGAATGTTTCAACCATCTAGTTCCTGTTGTGCATTCCAGATTGTTACGGCACCTACGGGACAAAGTACAGCCATGGCGAGATGTACATGGAGTCGTATTATGATAGTTCCGATTACTGTAGAGTCTGGTAAGTTTTCACTGGTATTATCATCCCAGGATGAAATTTAGGCCATCAGGGTCAGGTTTTCAGTGAAGCAAATCCGTCATCATCTGTTCTGGCAGACGCAAAGGTTCAACGTTGTCGAATGTAGACATCCAAGACAATGAGCTGAGCTTGTATATTTTATACACTGTGCATAAGCTTTGTGCGTTACTTTGTTTCTTGGCTGTAAAATCCTTTTTTGCAGATTTTAATTTTATATTATGAAGGCACACCTTTTCTAAAAGAAATTAAGTATGTAATATGGACAAGGGAACAGTACTGAGTGCAATTCCTGATGTAAACAATTACTGAAACATACAAGTTCTCTCTTTCAACCTCATTTTTCATTTCTTTCAAAAACATATGAGCTAAATATTCAATCTAAATTTTTCCCTTCTCGAGCAGTCAGTGTTACTACGGACAGTCCAACTGCTTCTATATCTGCGGTGATGATTACATGAGAGGTAAGTTTTGCTGTCTTTTGAGCACTTTTTCCAAGACGTTTAGTTCTCCTGTCATCATTTCAAAAGAAAATTTAGCTAAAACTGGATGACTTAGTGGGAGCTTTTTATACATATACAAATGCTTAAAAACTTAATGGATGGTACTGTTCGAAGATGGGTGATGTTCAGCCTGTGATGGCTTCATGTGAAGTCTCTTTGTATAGTAGGCCCCCTACTTACAAAGCAATTGAGCCACACACAAAATAAGACCCAGTGAAGTTTGTAAAACGGTAATGTCCAGGACCTCAATTTTATATGAAGCATCAACCAACAAAGCCTGTTGTTTGAGCACCCTATGATGGAAGCTCATGGGAATTCCTCGAGGCACGCTCTTTTTTTTTTCTAGAGCATTTCTGGGCGCATGGGTGGTTTGCTGCTGGAATTTCCGCTGGGGTTGCTCTCCTGATCAGTGTGATATTCACTCTATCCCTGGTGAGTTCAAACCCATTTTCCTTTGAATTTTGAACATTTGCTGTGTTATCCAGGCAGAATATAATCGGTAATGTTTTGAATATCCCTCGAAGTTGATGTAACCGCGACCGGTTATAAAAGAATCTCGATACATTTAATACTCAGTGCGCTGGGTAAAATATTCGGCGTTGTTGTAACGCACATGTCTTATTGTCGCGAGAATCCCACTTAAGAGGTTGCTATATTTCGCTGTAGACGGTATACGACTGTCTTATGAATGAAATACAGTAACATGCACCTTTGGCAACTCAATATCCGCCGAGCTTAAGCACAGGATAATATTCAGCTTGTAAATGGACTTGAATGGATCCAGCCAAATGATTATAGCCATGGATTTGACACATGCTTATGCGCCTCCAAAATCTGTATTTGTTTCAGTGCTGCTGCCTTAAATGCTGTTGCAGTGACAAAAAGCAGACAATCGTCTTGCAGCAACGTCCCGCAGTGGTAAGTAAACATTAAATTCAGATTGTTTGTTCTATATGCATAAACGACTTTCTAAACCTGTTTGACATTTTTTTCAAACAAACGACCTCTAGTGGAGTCAAACTGTTTGGGCAGTGAAATTTCTACAACAGTGTTTGACTCGAATTCGGGGAAGTATAACTCAAGAAGGATGTTGAAAGCATTTTACTGCATGTTATATCATGTGTATAATCCTTATGGTTTTAAATACCTTTATGAATTTATCGTTCAAAATAAGTCATCAATATCATACGTTTCTTCCTTTTCTCTGTTGAAGGCACAACAACCTGGCAATGTCTACTACATGTCACCTCCCAAGGAAGAGAAGCTTCCTCTAGCTGAAAACGGCTACACCACAGCTTAACTGTCTCGGTTAAATTGGCAAAATGCTTAATTGCGTACGGGTCGTTAATCTACCTGAAATAGTTGAAATCGTTTTAATACCTGAAATGTTTATATAAGAGTCTTTGGCGTCCATTGGTGATGAACCATGAAACGCTATTACTTTTAGGACTATGCGCCCGTAGTACTTTTGTAAGTCTTAAAAGAATGTGCCCAACTTGTGGGGTTCTGGCCCCACCTCCACTGAGGAAAAATCCTACTTTAATAATTCAGTACTCAATAACAAGGCAAACTGTGGAATCTGCACGACTATCCTAGATGAAGTTTGGTATCCGTAAACTAAGGTCGTCTCTTTATTGTTATGTAATTGTATTTCATAGAACCCAGGACTCATAGGCCCTAAAGAACGTAAAAGAATTCGCTCGTTCTGGTCAAATTTCCTGTTAAGTACGTGTAGTAAAGTATCAGACATCGACAGCTTTAGTCAGATAATATGCTTCTCAGAATAAATGTTTCAGTATACATGGTAACTGAGTTCTGATCTGTCAAACGAAAGCGGGACATTCCATACGAAGCAAGATATGAGACGAAAGAACCCCCCAGCTTTGTGCTGGTCTCTGTTTCACTGAAATCTGAGGAATTCTTTTCAGACGGGGGGGTTGCTAGGTAACAATATTCTAGGGTGTGTATAGCGATTGGACATGATGGGGGTACCCCTCGGTCGCATTTCTTGCTGGATATAGGACATTCTGTGCCCGTACGCTAGTTTCATGATGAAAATTAAGAGAAAATACAAACGAGAAGTTGATTGTGACAAGCAAGTACAATCTTTGACAAACACTTGCAGGAGTTGTGTACGTGCGTAATAATAATTATTGTGTTATTTGAGAGTATAGATATACATGGGGTTCTGGATTGATGGAAGGTCTGTGAAATATTGCTGGCAAGGCAAGACATAGGTCCACAGCTGAAAGGATCTACATAGTACTTGTGACCTTATGTGTGTAGACCCCTACATCTGTTTTTAGTTTAATGAATGCTAGGGACGTAAATATTTGTGACAATCGAAACCTCTTAGGTGTTGATTTGTATTTCTGTTATTTATAACATGCAGTTTGTAACTATCTGTAGAAATAATACTACTCACCAAGGAGTTCCCACAACCAGTGCTCTATGACAATGAGGTCAATAGTCTGGATTTTTGCGTGGAGTGTATTATTTCAACAACCCCAACAGCATTACCCATCTCACTTGTTCTCCATATTCTTGTTCATTTTTCACCTGTTAATTGAAAGGCCACAAATAAAGCATTTACACTGTAGTAGGCTACGGCATGCATGTTTAACCATATAATGGTCAATCATGTTATCGTCATTTTGAGGGTGTTCAAGCCATTTGTTTCTGGCACTCGCGAAGATGAATTCCCAGAGACCCAAACAGTGGTACCCTCTTCAGAACGATTTTGTCTTGGATATTTCTTTCAGTGCGGTTATTGTATTGGTTTGAAAACTTGGTGTTTGTTTCGACATTAAATTTTTATTTATGTCCAGTGGAATAATCTTAAAGATTACTTTGATTTTATTTTGATACAAACAGTAAGTTTTCGCGAGGATAAATCGCTTAAAAATTATGCCAAGTCTTAAGAAATCAACTCGCCAAAACCCAAAATTGAGACGGGGAAGACCATTCCTAATACCTCTTCAAAATCATAATTATTACACACATTTGAGAAAAAGTTGTCCCAGGGCCACAATTGTGACTTTAAATTACGCCTCACGGGACCAGAATTCCCAATGTGGGAGGGACCAGACTCGTACCGCTATGTAATGTGCATCAGAGTATTACCTTGACTACGTTTTCAGACCTATTAGTTTTGGCTAGTAACATTAACAAAAGCAGAGGGTGTGCAGTTTTTGCAAGGGTAAATCTTTCATGGGTGGACATTCTTGACACTGTGTCTGACATTCAGCATCCTTTACATTCTGTCATCATCTGGCACACGTTAGAGAAGAATCAGACGCCCTCTGTCGAAAACAAACAGATTTAGGTTTTTTTTCTGTCATCTGCATTCAAACAGTTTAACACTCGATTTTCCAGATAGGGTTGGTGGGAGTGGGTGGGATTATGAAATGCGGGTAGTTGTTTTTGTCGTAAGAGTTTACTTTGTCGTTGCTTCTTTGTGACTTTTCATTACAATTATTAGATTTATATATAATTTTTAACTATATCTGTATCGTGCTGTTAACTACGGTGATAGCACTTTTTATGTTTATGACAAAGTAACAAACATAAAACTGAAATTGAAATAATTCCTATAGCAGGGTAATTAATCAGTATTCAAATAAGCAAAGTTGATAGGTAATTTAATAACAGTACAGCATTAGTAAGACGAATTTCATTCCATACATTCCATTTTTTAAATAAGGGGATAAGGTTGACAGTTTCATGCCATCGCTTTGTTACAAAAGAAAAAAATATAACCAGGGATGCAGTTGAGTCATCACCGAGTCCATGCCCAATCCACGAGACAGAGACTGATTCAAATCCTATAACTAAGATCCTGAATCCAAATTGCCAGGTCTGAGTCCGGTTGTGAAAAAGGTTGTTATAGATGGTCAATACATGTACACACAGATAAAACAGCAGGGGATCTTAATTTTGTTAAATAAGTTAGTCAGATTTTGTCAGCTGATGCGAGATCCAAACATTTCTTTGTGACTGTTATGAGCAACCCGTCTCCCTTCAAGAACACACAATGTTCGCATTTGCCATTATCGGTCAAGTCCGTACGAGCAACTTGACATGTTTTTGCTAAAGAATGAGGCCCAGTGCAAGGACGGGGACTATACTGAAGCTGAATATTGCACATCGCTTGAATATTTTTGGCAGAATTAATTTTGTACCACTTAATAAGAAGAAAATGTATCGGTACTTCAACTGTAAAGTTTATAAGTATCTCTCCTTCGAATGCCTTGGCTTCAGTTGTCCGAAGTTATGTGTGCGGCTGCCATGCAGAACAAGGGCTTACGCTGAGGGGGGGTCATAGTCAGGGTTTGAGTGAACCCCCTTTCTTATACTCGGTGTAACCATCCCTGTTTCACTAATAAAACAACGACGTAACAGAAGGGCTGGATTTGCCTTTTTAGGTCGTTCAAATACGCCAGATTACAGGCCTAGATGACCTATTCCGTTTTCCAGTAAGAGCATGTCCCTGGACCCCTTCAGTATGGAGATCCCTTTCAAGGATCGTAAGCCATTGCATTTCGAACCCTTGGGCTCCCTGCAGAAAATGATGCCAAAACGTTCGTATTGAGAGGACTATAGAGTGACGAGTCAATGTTTCTTGCACAACGCAATGACGCTCGCGTAATATGCTGAGCGTTTTATGACGTAAAGCACATTGACTGTGTTAAGAATCCAGTCACAATCGAGTCTATTCAAAATAGTGTTTACACTTCCTAGTTTTTAACGGTCCTTTAGGGATATCTGTTTTCTGCATTCATGTTTTCTTGCCTGGCAAATCGTAGACCTATTGCTGTTGGATAATGGGAGAGATATCTCAGTTGTGAATAATGTTATGTAGTTTTTTTTACATTGGAACTACAGTGGTCCGTGGGTGGAGATCATCGTAATCCGGCCTGGTCACGTGCAAATCAACTAATTTAAAGAGTTCTTATAATGGGGAATTCCCCCAAGCACACAACATGTACACGTCATAAACAAAGGACGCGGTTTTTATTACACAGCTGTCTGGGGAGACATGATGTAATTTCCTACGGGAAAGTGTTATATTGCCAGTCTTGAGTGGAGAGCAATCGTTACGCCTCGTGGTTGAAATTTCCTTTCGGTTTCCCCAGCGTGTGGTGTAAAAATATGATTCCACCGGGACGGGGTGACAGACAACCTGAACCTTCAAAACAGACACTGTTTGTGATGTTGCAAAAATAATAATGAAATAAAAAAGCCTGAACTGCCACATCAATATTAATCAGATGTGGCAAGGGGGCAACTGTCCCCTTGGAACTCTTTCCCCTCTCTTCCCTCTGAGATCAGCCTGGCTCCGTAGCAAAGGGTGGCAATCACTGCCCCCCGTAGAAGAACCTGGCTATGTCAGAGGTTACTGGTCCGCCGAACAGTCTTGTCGAGACGAGTGAAATTCCGACTTTTAACACACTCTCGTCAAATGACAAGTTTGTGTTTATTGCGAATGTCTCCCGCTCAGAATCTTGGCTACGCCGCTGCTCGTCATGTGACTCAGCGTCAGGCAACCTGAAGCACTGCTTTGACATATCGCTGTAGACGGTGTAAGCACAACATAAATGCCGTTCGTTTTCCCCTTTCATTCAGTGCATAATAAGTCACAAGAATGTTACATTTACACGATGACATCACTGCCGACCAATGAGGAAAGCCGCTAGATATTCATTTTTGCACGTGCCTCGCTTGGCATCCCCCTTGCGGAAGTGAGACATTTACAATCGCCGATGCAAGGCAAAACACATTTGGGTTGTTTTCTGATCCTGGCGACTGTGCTTCCACTGGCTTGATCAGAGATTCCTCATCCACATTTCGAAGACGAGGAATATGAAACGACTAGAGAAATTCCAACTTGAACTCGTCATTTTCCTTGCGATATATATCGGCACATCACATGCCGAAAACCGTAAGTGATACAGCCTGGGTACCGTTGCAGCATGTTTCTTATAATTTGAAATCATGCAGGTCTTATGTTGTCACATTAGCTTCAGTAAGCATGCATGTATGCACTCATGCCTATACTTACGTGAAGCGGATTCGTGCTATTTTTCGTGTGTAACCACCCGAGTTTCCGAGTTTGAGGATAAAGTTCATACCGATTTCATGCGATTGACATCTCTGCTACTTCCTCAACTTCCTCACTACTTCCTCAACTTGTACAAAATGGCCGCCACGAGTTTAATGGGCCAAAAATTGCACGTACAGAACACTTTAGACAGATTTTAAGGATACATGAAATAAAGAAAAACATTCCGCGTAAAACAATAAATTATGCTCTAAAGAATATTTCGTGTGACTTGATTACTGATGGCCATGCCGACAGAGGTGTGTTTCTGTCGGGGTGCAGCAGAACTAGAAGTCATGATGTGACCCGGACGTGCCGGATGAAAGATCGTATAGCGCGCACCGCGTACAAGAGGAACATTCGCCAAACGGAAAAGAAAATCCCACCGGCAATAATTCAATAACATTAGCCATTTCATTGGGCCAGCACATGGGCAGTTTCGAGATCGATTAGAGATGCATTCACTCAATTCAAAATAGTTGCCTCTATTCGAGCAGATACATTTTTGTTCTGCAATTTCAAAGTTCATTTCACTGCATTTTTGGTACCGTTAATGAATATTTCCATATTTATGTACAAAACTGTGATGTCATCCAAGGAAGACAGCCTCAATGTTACATTGCTTTGTACACAAAAATATTGTGCATTTTTGTAGATTTTGCTGAACTGATTTTTCTTCTTTGTTTATTCATTGTTGTTTACGCGTATAGCAATAGGCAAGCATCAATCCCATTCTCAGAATTTTCAGTAAGTAAATTCTTGGTTCACAATTTGAACAGAAAAACCAATGTCTTCCGGCCAGGAAGACATCACATACAACATGGATAATTTTAAACGTTTCAAAAAGTGCCCTTTTCAAAACATTTAACCTAATAAGAATGTAAAATAGTTCTCATAAATTGCAGAAGACTAACGAAGTTGCCAAAAAATTGTGTCAAAGCAAATTCATTGCAGCTAGCTACATCTACGCTTTAATGTATCAGCCCGGGCGAGTGGAATGCGACTGTGTACATAATGACACCCACTGCTGTGTTGCGACATGCATTATGTACAAGCTATAGGCATAATGTACATGTACACAGGCACGACGGCCAAGCCGTGCTGCTTGTCCTTCTGTTGCACAACTCCGCAGATACCCATGCACTTTCCTATGGGGAAATGGTTCTTGGGAGGAGATTAGTCCTCATGCCTCGGATTGTTGAAATGTTGGACTTGACTTCCCTTAAAAAAATCTCTACTGAGGCACAATTATACAGTATCCTTTATTCAAGTTGGGTTTTCCTATCGGGCTAGCCTGGCAGGAATGCATGCAGCAGGACAGCTTGCTTCGTGCGGTTGCCTCGCACCCAGACGTTATTTTAATAGTCCAGACTACAAGTCGGTTAGTGTGTTTTCGTGCCTCGGTCTAGATTAAGGAATTTGAATTGTAACAAAATCGAAGGGGGGGGTTGCATGACAAATAAACATACCAATATTACACATAAATCAGTTTTGTTGTTAATTCACATTGGACATCCATAAATGATTTGATGTGTGGATTAAAATGAATTACAACAGACGTTGACTTTCTTGTTTCAACAATGCATTTATGCCTGTTGAAATTGTTTTCTAGACGATGACATCAGGGACTGACTAGACTGATGACATCAGGGACTTAGCCTTACACTAGCCCGAAAAAATGAGCATTCCCGGAAATAACCAGAAAACCGATAAACTCTTCAACATTCAAGAAATCTTGCAAAATATATGGACTCGATGAGAATATCGAGTGACTTTAAAGCTGACAGCTTTAAACAATTTTGGGGGTATTTAGGGTTGGGGGAATTGGGGTGCTTTTGAAAAAGTAATCTCTTTGAAACGATGGCTAAACTACAATATTTTGGTATTGGATAACTAATTCCCTGTTCCATTACAAAATTGAGTGCATGCCTTTGAGGTCCTGCGTCATCGCAAAGGCTCGGAAAAATCACGTTCTTTTGAAAACCTGTAATGTGCATTTTGCAAATCCTTGAACTACTGGGTTCTCTCTGTTGAGGAATAGCTTAAGAATTTTAAGTTGTTTTTCACTTTCCTACTGGCAAGTACCGAAGTTGTAATTTAAGTGCAATGAGACTTTTGACCAACTTTTCCTAAGAAGTTCCCTGTTCATGAATGATATGTAGCCATATCTTTCCTCATGAAGTTCAACTACATGCCGAGGTGGACATCTGAGTTTCCTTAACAGTCGAAGCTTTCCTGTGCTTGCCTGTGTTTTCACAACAAGAATAAAAAAGCGCATAATTTCATTCAACTAACATTTCAGTCTTCTTGATGTAAATGATTGAATCTCGATTGAAGGAACTGCGAGAATAATAAGTTATTTCACTCTGGTCAGTTTTATCATGGAGCTATTCAATGTTTTTATTGTATGGGGACATCCGCCGACCGTGACTTACTTATCCCTATTAAACGGCTGCTTGTATTATTCTAATGATTTCCTATCTCGTGTAAAGCTGTATCTACGAGATGGGGAAGTTGTTTAAACGAGCTCGGTGGAAAATAAACTTGACAGTCATTTCTTCCATCTTGTAGACGGTTTTTGCCCAAGTGGCTTCGAAAGATACACGCACCAAGATGACGTGACTTGTACATACGCTTGCAATGCGGACCAAGACTGCAGCGACGGAGAAATTTGCTGTGTCTTGGAGTCAACGTCCGAGTCGCAAGGGTCCAGATGTACTGAGTGCAAGCAAGCTGTATATGGTGGGTCGTATGTGTAAAGGCCGGTTCATAGGTGTACTACTGGCGAACGAAAGAGAAGCGAATTTGACGTCATGACAGATTTGCAGGGACGTTTCGCTGAGTTGAAATGTATTCAACTTTTGTGAATTCGCAGCGCAAATGTTTGATCCGCGTCTGTGTTTGCTTTCGCATGAAGTATGAACCGACATTTAGCTTTAGGCAGTGGTATATCCAGCGGGTGGGGTTGGGGGAAAGGGGAGGGGGAAACTTGGCCCCCCGATGGACTTTTTCTTTACCAAGAATACTTCATAGGTGAGTGGGAAAGAAAGAAATCGGTGTGTATCAACACCAAAACCCTAAGAAAAGAATGACAGCAAATAAAGGTAAGGATGTCGGAACCATAAGCAAGGCTTTTCGTTTTTCCCCCCTCCCCAACGTCGTGTTGAATGAGCTCAAAGCTACATTCGAATTTTTTTTAATCGTCCGACAGTGACACGTATTGCCTTGAAGGATAAACAATGACTTCGTAAACGGGCCATTAGAACATACACCTTTCACATCCTTGGAATCATACAGCACCTCTCTTATATTAACTTTATCTGATATCAACAAACTTCACACGGGAATTTTCATGTACAAGCATGTTAACAGCCTACTTCCTTCAAATAACGGGGTTTGCCCTTACCCAACGTAAATATTAGTAATAAACACTGTATGCTCANCAAGCTTACTCGGGTGGGACTCGAACCCACGACCTCCTGCTTACTAGTGCAGACGTCTTAACCACTCGACCACCGAGCTTGCCGGGGTCGGCATTTCAAAGTCGTTTGTTCCCACTGAAGGAGGCTCCATTACAAGAAAAACCGCGCCCTCATTGATCCCACTCGGGGCGGATAAGCATCATTTCTGAGCTGATGTTTACCACACAGCATCTAACACAAAAAGGGGTTGTGAGCTTCAACATTTGAAGCATATCTCGGCACAATTACCACTCAGCACCCCTATTCTCAGGCTTGTTTGTACGTGCTAGACTTGTAAATTATATTTGTCAGTTTATTTTGAAAATTGAGTAGCGGTTCACTACATTGTTTTCCGTAGTTGGAGGGTGTTACTTTGGAGCAGTTTATGAGAGTGATTACTATCAAAACAACCAGATTTTCACCCCTTGGTACGATGGATGTACGATTTGGTAAGTTAATTGTTTATTTGAGTTGATCAGTTTTTCCAATTTGCCACAATTGACTTATCAATGGCACAGTGTGTTACAAAATCCTCCCTCAGTGGCCCCTTCTGTATACAAAGACGAAGCTGATTTACATGAAAGTGGGCCACTTTTTAAACCAGTGCTATTCCGCTGACACAAGTACATGTACTTGTCGCCAGGAAGGAGGCTTGCCTCTCCTCACAGTAAGGGGGGGGGCACCCATTATTCACGGGTTGACAAACCACATAAACGGGGTTCTCATTCTGGAATCTGGCGATTTTCCATCCGATTTCCTCGTTCTGTATTTTCCCAAGCTCTTTTCCTTTTCCACCGACAATTTGTCGCCGAATGTTTTTCTTGGGCAAGCAACCACTTATTTCCCTGGAACACCTGAGTCCCCCCCCCTTCGGCCACAAATACAAACTGAAGAGGTCGAAAGCGAGGGTTGAGGAGCATACATGGAAAACCAGAAAAGGCATAAATATCGTTATTAATATGATTTAACACGGTTGGGTTGTAGTGTTGTAGTCGAGACCGGTTAGTCCGAGACCAAGACCGACACCAGAAGTTTCGAGACCGCCACCAACACCTTCAAGAGGGACCGAGACCGAGATGAGTCCGCCAAGTGCTCTAAATAGCAACTGAAAGAACAAAAAACAAAAAACAAAAACGTGCTGGTAGTACTATGCGTCACGCTTGTATTGCACTTGCACTCTGCTGTCGACAACAGTTTAGTACTTTGGAATTACAAATACATGAGATTCTTTTCAACAATCCTCATTTTCTGGTCATATTCTCTGAAAGATTCCAAATTTTGGTTGGTTTGCGCTTCAGTTTTCAATCAGCAATTCCAATTTTGTTGCCAGTGAATTCAGAGACCAGGGGGTGTGAGTGTATGATGAAAACTGATAGGCCTACATGCAAATTTCGGAGTGCTTATAGGCCTAGTATTTTTCCACTAAAAAACAAAGCAAAACAAAACAATGAAGGGACAAAAAGGGAAAGGGTACACCTACAGACATTTCCAAAAATGGTAGGCCCCATCAGCGCCTAAATTGATAATGTTACTTTGTGCCCGCCTCCACTGGCGAATAAAAGCCGAACTAGTTCCACAACGTTCAGATGTGTGCATCGTCCAAGGACAGAAAATTCACGTAAAGCAGAGTGTTTTCTGTTCCCTGCTTTTACGTCAGTGTACTCTATATGGTACATCCAAGGCATGTACCTCATGGAATTGACTGTTGCCCCTAGTCTGGATACTAGACCCGATGATTCTGACTACTCTGGAATGTTGTCATACCTATTTAAAATACTCAAAGTCTTTACCTATTTTGAGGCCCGCCGTTTATAAAATGATATTAAAATTTGATTTTTATCCACAGTCAGTGTCTCAATGGAGATATAGAGTGCTATAATACCTGTGGTAAGTGTTGCAAAGGTTGATATTGATTTTGTCTAAGTAACCTTCTCTCAAAGGCACATCATGGAAGTAGAGGGATTTAACACATATGCAGACCTTCCTGCATTGTGACTAAGCAATCCATCTTAAAAGTGCAATCTCTTTTTGGTATGTACATGTAGTTACAAGATGTTTAACAAATGAAATACAAATAGGGATTTCACAAAAAGTTTACTTTTTGCACTCATCAGGAATTCATTGCAGACCTATGCTCCACAACTAAATACACCTTTCTTTCTGTAACAGACAAACCATTGGCTGCGAGGGAATGGATAGTGCCAAGCATCACTGCCGCAGTTGCCCTGTTAATCAGTCTGGTCGTCTCCTTGTGCGTGGTGAGCTATCAATAGGCCCTAGATGGAAAATCTCCGTAACCAACTATTCCTATACATCTGATGGTCAAACAGTTCACCCACCCTATACTAATTTAACCATGAGACAAGGTGATTAACTTTAGTCCACGGAAATGATGATATCCTCTCGCTGTTAAATGAGATGCAGCTTGAAATTAAAAGATTAATTTCGAAACCTAAACGCGTCCCAATCGATTCCCCTGTGCCGGTTTTAACCATCCCATGATTTGGACTGAGAAATCCCTCCACAACTTGTGTAGAATGCTTTAAATGACAATTGACGAATCTACAGTGGGTTATATTTTCTCGCTACCCTACATGAGATTTTTTTCAATTACTAACGGTGGGTAATTCCAGAAATTAGGGGTCCAGAAGTGTGACATTTCACGGTCCCTGTTCCATCTGACCTTTGTTATTTGACATGGAAATATCAACGGAATTGATTTAAAACTATTACTATTTGTTGGGCAGATAATTCGCAGGTGAAACAAAGGTGAAGTTACAAGGAGTATCATTAAACTGATATCGGGGTAGATTAGAATGCCTCTAACAACTCTGCCAAATGTGACCTTGTACACAGCAACTTTGCAACACGTGTGAGAACAATGTTTTCTTCTTTAAATTGCAGTGCTGCTGCGTGAAGAGCAATGGCAGGAACAGACCTGCGTACTACGGGCCAGGACCGGTATGCAATTAAAATGCCTATTCCGCAGTCTATCCACAAGCTGCTTGCTGTGGAATTGTTTACGTGGAATTGTTTTTTGGTGTGGACAATGCCCTTCTGGTTTTTGTCTGGCCATAGAGCTACTTATCTTAAAAGATAAACAAAAAATAGAAACATGATTTCAGAAACCCCCCCCCCAAAAAAAAACCCTGGATAAGCTACTGGACAAGCTAATAGGGAAACCCTATATGCTAATGATCATATAGTTAGAAAACATTTCAGGGCAAAAACTTCATCGCAAATTTGTGCGGCGACTACTGCAGTATCCCAAAAAGATGACCACACTGAATTCCTGTGTAGGCTCTTTATAACCGCCCTAGATCTCGATCAGTATTTGGATATTTGAAACCACTGATTTCCAAGCAGTTCACTTTCTTAAAGCTACCGTTACCATTGACTTAATACTTTGTTATAGCGTACATGGGAAACATGAATATGAATGATACAGGAATATTTCATCACATGTCTTGGCAGCATAACATACGTCTCTAATAAATGAATTACAGATAAATTTAATGTTTTTCCCTGAAAACTTCTCATATTGACGGTGATATAAAATGTGTATTTAATGCTGCAAAACAAACCAACCCAAGTCCACACTTATGCTATCAGGAGGTTTTTTTGTCTGAAAACCAGAATGACAGAAGATCGAAAATATTCATCATTGTATCTGTAAATGTTGGTCACTTGTCTATTCCATTAATCAAGCGGCCCCTGTTTTTGTGTTTGTTTTTTAACAGGCTCAACGGCCCGGTAATTATGCAACATGCAGACCTCGTTCCGAGGAAACAGCACCACTTACCAACTACCAAGTAGCTTAGACGAGAAGGATTCCGTGTATTTTCCATTTTCTAAGATTTGTCGCAGAGGTCTGATTTTTAAACAAATGTGTAGAAATGTTTTCCCGGCAGCGAAGAGCATTTGAGTTTGACCAAGCTCCACTGACAACGATATGGTCAACTGCATTGTTTAATGGACAAGTATTCTTGTAATTTTTGGAACTGAATTTTTTCAAGAAGAACTGTATACATTAATGTAGGGTTGAAGGAATGATGTTAAGAATAAAACAACAGATGGCGATGACAAGGGCGCCATAAAAATTAAAAAACAGAAGAGAAATGATGGTGATGAATATTGCAGATATCCAAGTTTAAGCACTTGTTTTTAAACTGACGTGCATGTGATAAACTTACTTGTTTTCAACTAGAGGGCTCTTGCTAGCTACACTAGAGTACATTTACATTGCCGCAAAAAAATTAACAAAATTAAATGCATGCTGCAAATTCGAAATTGAATTCTATACAGTTGCAGGCCTTTTAAATATGGAACAATAATCATATTTATGCATGTCCGTCAGAACCATGTATATATACTGCACAACGCTAGTTTGATCTTAAGGGTTGTGAAGTAACGGAAAGTCCCCTAATTATGCTAATACTGGTATACCCTTTTAAAAATCCGTCTACCTTCTGTCACAAACGATCGTGATGATTTGCTGAAACACAGAATTTATCTTGTAGCTCCAGTGCATTTGTTTGACAAAGATTGCTTCTGAAAATTTATTGTGCCTTTAAATCCCTAATAGAATTTGGGTGGATAACTGCAGGCGATGGGTTGTAAGAAGGATATCGCTGTACACGTGCGATGCGTCATAAGAACATTTATAGCATAATGCGACGACTGTTTCATACAATTTAGTTCTTGAACAATACGGATTTTTTAAAGATATTCGGAATCACAAAACAAATTGTGATGTGTGTCATGACGGCTTGAAAATAAGCATCTTATAGTTTGTTCTTGCAATCATTATGTTTCAAACACTTTTCCCTTATCTCATTGTAATTTTGTATGAAATTCGAAACCTTACAATGGTTACATTAAAAACAATTTAACCGTCAAAGTTTAAGACTTTTGACGGGAATTGTTCTTAGTTTTGTCTTAAATGGCTGTCCTCGTGGTAGGATGACACCATTCAAGGTGATTTACGATGTCTTAACCTGTACTTTTGAGACATTCAGACCGTCGTAAATTTCTTGAAAATCCTGTGGTATTATAACCACGATGCGTTGTCTGTCGTCCAAACTGAACAGCGAGTTGTAAAATCGACCCCAGTACAGTTCATCAGTCAGGAGATAACTACATGAAGATGTGTGATTTATTGAAACACTGGTTGGATTAAAAAGGCTAACAAAACGCCCAATATGTCAGCTTATATATGCGACATGTTGTACTTTTCAAACATATTTAAGCAACGAATTTAAGAAAACATAGAACTTAAGAAAAAACTCTTTTACTTTGTAGCAATTTATAAAACAAGTGTTGGTAGTCTCAGATTTATTCTAACAATATCAGTAAGTACGAAATGAATTGCGTTCATACTGCGTATTGCAAT